TCTCTGCTCTCTCCTAGGGAACCTGGCCGTGTCCTAGGTGGAATATGTGAGAACACCAGGTGGGGTCCCTGAGGTGAGCAGGGATGCCAAGGTGGGGTGAAGGGGGAGGTGATTGCAGCCAAGGTCTGTCGACTCCGCACTTCTGCCGTGGAGAATGCAATGCGTTTTATTTCATGAAGAAACTTCTGACTCTTCTCCACTACTTCTCCCTGCCTCAGCTACCCCTCCAACATCCTTCCCCTTGGAAACGGCCTCAGAGATTCTGAAAGGTGCTTTCCTTACTACTGAGCCTGCCTGTGTGGGAGGAAGCGGAGGACGTGAGGGTACTGACTGAGAGAGCAGGTGGAGACCCAGGAGCTGTTGTGCAAAAAGAATGCCAAATTATATAAGGAGGGGAACCGGAAGGGGGGGGGCGGTGGAGGCAGCCATTCATTGGTGCTTTTTAACCCTTTCCTGCTGCAAAAGCAGGCAGCCCCAGATGCTGGCAGGAGATGGCTGCAGTGAGAGGCTTTTCCTAAATGGTTTGTGCCGAAGGCTTTGAAGGGAGGCCGGCGCTGCTCCCTTCTTGCCCTTTGCAGACAGGCTTTGTACTCTGGGTAAAACTGTCGGAAAAGGTAGAGCAGCTCCTAATCTAGGAGATGATTCCTGTGGGAAATCAGGCTGCTTTTCAAGCGTAATTTGAAAAGCTGCTGCCTCCAAACTTCAGTGGTGGCGGGGAGTCGGGGAGGGGGGGGTGCAGAGAGAAGAATGCCATTTATAACACAATCAAAGCTTCGGCAGAGTCAGCCATCACTCAGAATTATTTTCTGAAATTTGGACTCTCTCTATGCCTTTCTCTGGAGGGAAGGCAGTATGGGCACTTTGCTTCCAATCATGCCCGACACAGAGGCTGGGGAAAGTCACACGGAGGGGGAGTTCATCACAGCTGGGGCCGTGGAAAATCATTTCTAGGGCTTCTCAGCTCTCCAGAACGAGCCAGAAGAAGCCTCATCAGAGGTTCCATTCATCTCACTGCTTACTTTTAAACTTTAAAGCACATATTTATGTGCCTCAAGTTGCCCATGAACCACGGCATGTCAAACAGTTTGGGGTTGACGGAAGAGGTACATTTTCTCGTCCTGGGACTTTCAGAAACAAAATTTCATCGCTAGCCTCTCTCCTTTCCAATTTCTCCTGGAGGCTGCCACGAGATGAATATTCCTAAAACGNCACACACACACACACACACACACACACACATATACATACTACTTACACACCTCTCACAGTGGCTTCTTCCTTTTCCTTAGACTCACCCTGCTCCCTCCTACCACAGGACCTTTGCACATACTGTCCTGTGTGTCTGAAACACCCTTCTACGCTTTCTCATCCCCCTTTATCTAGTGAAGTCCTATTTATTCTTCAGATCTTGGCTCAGATGTCCCTTCCTCTGGGTAGCCTTCTCTGAGGGATGTCCCACCCAAGGACAAGATCAAGTCCTGTTGCATGCTGTCCCAGCTCTCTGTCCCATAAGGGTGTCATTACATGTTTGCAAGGTTAGTTGATTAACACTGCCTTCCCCATGATACTGTGAAGAAGGGACCTTGCTTGTCTTGTTCACAGTGACGCACAGTAGGTCCTCAAGAAATGCATGTTAGGTGAATGAATGAATACACGAATGAATGAATTCCACTCAGATTAAGACTCCCAGTAGCCAGAGAGGGGAATTTACCAGCTAAAGACAGGGGGAAGAGGAGGAGGCTAATTAGCAATTCATTAGGATCCATTTTCACGTCTGTAGTCAATGCTAATCACTTGTTTGTTTAAAACAGGAAGTTCTGCACTCATTAAATTTATTAGTAAATGAAAATGTTTCTAGGGGAAGTCTGGCCTCCCACACTGGAGTGTAAATTCAAGGGCTTCACCCCCTCTTTTGTACAGACATGCCAGAAGTTGGCAAAGCTGGTTGGTTGCTCACAAGCTGAGAATGCCCTGGGCTAGGCCCCTAGTCCTCCCTCACAGCAGGACTTGAGGAACCTGCCTCTTCAACTCTCTTGGAGCTCAGTTTTTGTCCCTGTGAAATGGGCACAATATTCAATTTCATGGCTAGTTGTGAAGATTAGAGGGAGCTGTGTAGCCAGGAGCGTCCGCTCACACGGTGTTATCCTCCCCGATAGCCTACGGTGGGTCTGATTTGAGAATATTGCTCCCCAGCAGCCCCAGCGGTAATCGGACCACTGTCTTGAACTCTATCGGTTGTATTAACAAACAGGCTCCTCTCTCCTTATAAGCAGCCCGTGTTTAGAGGGCGCTCGCAGGCCACGTTGTGCTCACCTGTGCCTCGCGTAAGCTCATTTCATTAAAAAAGCAAGACCAACCAGGTAGCCATTATTATCTGCATTTGCAGAAGGGGAAACTGAGGTTTGGAGAGACAAGATGCTTACCCAGGGCCTTTTCTCCTCTCCATGCTGAGCAGCCTCCTCGAGGCAGAAATCGTTGCTCCCCAGTCTGGGCTCCATCAGGTGGGACTGCGGTTCCTGGTTCTCACCCATGCTCATGTTCCCAGGGACTGGAGCTTTGCAGAAACACAACAGCCTCCTTTGCCAGAGCTCTAACTACATACCGTGTTTCCCCGAAAATAAGACTGGGTCTTATATTAATTTTTGCTCCAACAATCTACATTTATTCATTTATTCATGTACAAAAATCTACATTTATTCAAACAATTATATCTGGCTGATGATCTTAACTGGGGCGTATGTTTGGGGTAGGGCTTATATTACGAGCATCCTGAAAAATCATGCTAGGGTTTATTTTCCGGTTAGGTCTTATTTTGGGGGAACCACGGTACATACTAGCCTTGGTGCTCCGGGCTTTCCATGCATTAAATCACGGAGTCCTCACAAAAATTCTACAAGGCTGAGCTACTATTATTATTCCCATCTTACGGGTGAGGACAATGATTGTCCAGGTCACGGTGGCTGGTGAAGATGGTAAAGGGAAAAGGCAGTCTGCCTTCAGAGCCCACGCCCTTCACCTCTGGGAGGACTCCTCTGCTCCCACAACAGACCTGCAGAATGGTGGAGGGGAGGGCGTGGAAGTGGCCTGGTAAGGGTGAGCTCTGCCCTCCAGCCAACCAGAGCCCTGCAGAAAAGCCCCAGACAAAAACTTCCCCAAGGCAGTGCTACCAACCATTCCTCAGCCACTCAAGGTAGAGCCCCGGCCCACCTGTGGGGTATTGAACAGACCAGTCTCTCTCCCTGATGCCTTGTCCTTCTCTGAGGCCTCCCCTGCCTACAGCTCCCACCCCCCACTGCCGTGAGCAACACCCCGAACAGCTGTGATGAGCCTCTGTGTGCACTGTTCCCTCTGCCCAGAGGGGCCCTTCCCTTTGAGACTGATGAGCAAAAACTGCAGCGCTAGCTTGGATGGCCTCTCCTCCAGGAAGCCTCCCAGTTTCCTTCCTCTCTGCTGCCATTATCATCGCGGTGAGGACCAGCTCCTACAGGGCACTGCCCAGGGGCCAGGCCCTGATTCTAGCACTTTGTCAGTCTAATTCTCACCATGCTCTCAGGGAGAAATTATTTTTATCCCCATTTCACCAAGTCTCAGAGCCATAAAGATACTTGCCCAAGGCACCTGTGTTGGGATTCAAACCCCGGGCGGTCTACCTCCAGAGGCTGTGCTGGTAACGACTGCTCTCGACCTCCTCCCAACACAAACTTCATGGCTGCCTTCTTGTGACGACTTGTCTTGCTTAACGCTCCTCTGAGCCTAGCTCCCCAGAGGCAGCATTTAATGTCCCTTTGTCTCTGGGCCTGGCATAGAGAAAGCCTGGAGAAAGGCTTATTGAATTGAAGTTTCCAACCTGCAGAATTTGGATCCTGTTTCCCAGACCCTGATGTAACATAACAGGTTATGTAACTCATCGTGTGATGTCAGCAGCCTCAGGTTCAAATCCCAGCTTTGCCCCTTTACTTGATGACTTTGGGCCCATCACTGGATAGCTCAGTCATACCAATGATGAGGAAAGCGCAAGTCACAGCCCTAAGGTGCTGAAGATGCAGAAATGGATGTGACCCCTCTTGGGGGGTGGGGGTGGGGAGGCTATAAGCCCCAGATAGAGCTGTGTGTGTGTGTGTGTGTGGCGGGGGGAGAGGCGAGGCAGAGGGCATCATGCAATGTCTTGAGAGCACTGAGTGAGTGGGAGCCCTGGATTCTGCCTGGGCAGTCAGGAAAGCTTTGAGGCTCAAACTGCTTCTCTTGGGGCTCCGAAGGGCTCAGATGAGCTAGGACATGAGTGGGAGATGGCCTTCCTACACAGTGCACAACCCATGCCCTGAAAGGCATCCTCTTTGCTTATTTGGGCTAGGCAATGTCTCCCCTCCCCCAGCCCTGGTCCCCCTTGAGAAATAACAAAGCACCGGTGAAGGGACCAGGTGATGATGTTAGTTTCCTAACACCAAAAGGTGAGTTTACCATAGAATTTTAGACTCAGAAATGCCTTCTATTTTAACAGTAAAAATTTTTTTGTGAGTATAGATGTTACACAATGCATATGGCTAAAAAATGTGAAGAGTATATGAAGGGTCTAAGGTGAACCGATTTCTCATCACTGATCCTGCTAACCCTTCCTAGAGGCTAGCAGTCGGCTGTTCTTTAAGAGAAACTCCACAAAGAAACTACCCCCACCCCCATAAAGAGTAGCATTGTTCGGCTTGCCTTTTTCTTTAATAATATCTCTTGGAGATGTACACAGAGCACTAGCTCTTCCTTTTGAAAGGCAGGGCACACGACGCGTTAGTAAGGCACTTAATTAGCCAGGCCTCTCTGGATGGACCTTTAGGTTGCTTCCAGTCTTTTATTAACGCAAACAATGCCTCAGCGAACACTTCGTTCACCATCTTTGCACACGGACAAGGACATTTCTAAGAGCAGGATCGCGGAGTCCAAGGCTATGTACATTTTAAAGTCTGATCGCCGTGGCTGCTTTACTCACGTTGTTATGTGGATGTGCCACGGTTCACTGAACGAGTCTGTCCATCCCTCCTCCTCCCC